CTTTGTTTGCTTATTGATTGTTTTTAATGTCTTTGTTCATGCTCGGCATCACTGAAAATAAGGGTCCTCACAAAGTGATTTCCCGTGTCTTAAATAAAGGTTTAAAATATTTGAATGAAATTTAGGTTTTCTCGGTCAAAGTTAAAAAAAAAAAAAAAAAAAAAAAAAAAAACTGCGCGCGTGGCACTAATGTTATCATAAGAGGATATTCACCCTCAGTAACAGGCGTGCTGCTTGGTTGGAAAGTAGCTGCACTCATGCATTGAGTGTCAAATACATGGCACACCTGGAATTTAAGCCAATGTTGTGTTGAAAGATGTTTCAGCATACTGCTGCTGTTTTCTAGCCTGGACATCCAGACTCCCGCGCAGTGCAAATTCAAATTTGCTAGGGGCGGGGCATCTGGATTTCCAGGCTAGCTGTTTCCACCTTTACTTAAAATTATCATTTTACAGACATTACAGCAGCCCTACTGTCATCTTTCTTCATGAAATTAAGCCAGGATTTGGACCAGAGGTGCATGCTGTGCAGAGTACACACAGGTACAGTATATGGGGCATACCCACTTTCTTCTCTGTCTGTTTACAGTGTACCCACCTATCAGCCAAAAAGCCATTGGAATATATAGGAGAGTATACCCACTTCCTCCTTGTAAACCTATGCATCTTATATCATCAACTAGCACTACATCACTGCTTTGGACCATTTTTTGCTGTCTACCATGACTCTTTCTTGTTGCAGGTTTCCAGCTGTGCAGACTCATGACTTTAATGCCATTGTTTTGCAATACAATACTGTCAAGTACTGACAAGCTCAGAGGCATATGATTCCGATACATTGGACAACTTGGAGCCAGTTCTCAATTCCCATCCCTATTCGTGAATTATTAGAGCATTTTTTGTTACGCAGGGTTTTCATAAAAAGAATAAGATGGTCATTTGCACCTGCTGTAATGCTGAAAAGATAAGTTGATTATGTAAGATTTCATAAACAAAAATCTGTTTACACTAGCTTCCATCATTACTTTCTTTATCTTGTGATTTAGGGAGCAAAAATGCCACACATCTGTTACTTTCTGCTTCTCACGGTGGAGAAGATGCTGCTTTTCTCTGTTTTATATCATTGTACATTCAATATTGTTGGGTTTTAGAGTGTAGGTCAAACAAAAAACGGACTGTGCCATTCTGTGATGAGCATGTTTTACCCTTTTATTCCATTCTATGGCGCAAAATATGAATTATTCATTTATTAAAGCTTAAACAGTCCAACTGATGATGGAAGTAATTGTTAGCTGCAGCTGTATCTGCACCATATTTGTGTATATATACTGAATTATTAATGATATTCCCATCCTACACTCTCCTGATACGTGTCCGATGTAACTCTTTCCAAACTTACTGCCTGAGTCTTCCTCACCGGTGCCTCTCTAGCCGTGTACATCTTTCTATAGGACAGAAGAATTACTTTGTGGAATGAAGCCACAGGGACAGCCCTGCTTGGACACGCTCCCTGTCCGCAAAGCTTCAAGGTGTCCTCTCCACACCATTACCTTGGTCGACACTCTGCAATGACTAAGTGGACGTTTGAGTGAAAGTGACATTTTATTAGCAGGAGAATCTAAAGGGTCCTTGTCTGAACAAACTGACTAAACAAGTTTTTATACCGCTGCTCCTGTTACCAGACTTATGTTCCTAAATAACTGTGAAATATGAATCAGCAGCTCAAAGAGGATGTCTCCATTCACTCTCCGGAATGAAAAGACTATAGCAACAATAAGAGAAAACATTATCAGAGTCATGCTTTAACACTTTGAAATGTTATTCCACAGACTTAATAAAAAGTAGGACTTGTCCTGCTGTGTCATTACTGCACCTTCATTCAAGAGAAAACACTGCCAGGATTCTCTGTGATAGGCAACTGTGGCTGCTGTCTCTATTGACTCTTTTCCCCCAGCGTTGAGTAAGTGGATGAATACAGTGTCAGCCTCTGCAGCTGCAAGGGCCACTGTGTTGGGGGGGAAAGGCAGTCTTGGCCAAAGTAATCCTTTGGCAAAGACTGGTGTCCCAGACGCTGGCGCAGTGATGATCCACACAGAGAGGGGGTGGGCGATGTTGTGTACTTTGGGTCACCAGACACTGACATTGTCCTTGCAGTGTATTGACAACTGTATTCACATCTTTGACAGTAACACAGTTGTGCATATTCCAGGGCTGATATTCAGCGTCCCCTGATAGCTTCAGCTCTCATCACCAGCAATGGCTGCTGTGTTGTTTATTCAGGTGTGTCACAGACCCAGTGTGACATTATCACATCCGCCTATGTGTGAATTAAATCATCCATAGGAGGGTTGAATTCAGCGAGAGTCCATTTAAAATGTGCTATGGGCAGTTGATGACTGCAGACAGGTGTGATTTGAGAGATGTGAAAAACCTCATTAGTGAGCAGTTGAAAGGTGAATGACACAGTTTTTTTTTCTGAATCATCCAGTCAAGCACTCTTCATGTGCGTAAAACTCGCCATGCGTGGGAGTACAGGCAATGACTCTTTCCAAACCCACACAACATGACCATAAATAGCCTCACTTACATAAAAATCACACCATGTACTTGCACTGAAGGTATATTGGTACATTCAGGAAGAATTGAGAGCAAACACCACAAGACGCACATGAAGCGTGTTTGCAGGAGTTCATCAGAGAAGTGACTGCTCCCTGGTGCTCTCCTCTTCTTAATGAAAGATCAATTCATTATTCCATATGCAGAGGGATGACTAACAGAGCACAGGGAGATAAACAAGGGCTCTATGTTGGAAAGCACACCTGCATGAATTGGTGAATCGAATTGTGTGAGTGCATGGCTGCGCTGAATTGGGGATATTTCCACCCATCGCCTGCATCACGTGGACGGCCCGGTCATTGATCACAACAGTGATCATTTCAGTAAAGGGACGAGAGAAGGGGGCGGGGGTGACAGAGCTGTCAATAGGCAGGGTCAGGGCTATATGCTTCATACAGGGAAAAAATATGTGCATGTGCATTTTTAAAAATGCAACACAACAAAACCTAACGCCAAACAACCCTCGTGTGCCTCCTGAATAACGGGGCTATAATGGTGGCTGCGATAAGACAACAAATACGCTCAGCCTGGCATCATGGACCACACATGCATGCGGATTTTGTGACGATAAATCCACGCGCTCATTGGGGAGTTTGGCATCATGAAGACGGCAAGACATACTGTAAATGTTGCACGCGCTAATATCATATTAAACGGCCTACACGCTGATTCCTAAACACTACTTGTAGCCATAACAGCCCAATGGGCTACAGGCGTCTTCCTAACGCGCAAATCTGGAGGGGCATGCAGCCATTCACAGACGCTGATATGGCACATTAATTTCCAATTTGCAGCTCCGCGATCCAGCGTTACAGACTGTATTTCACGTCCAAGAGGTTGGAAGCATATGCGCTAATTAACCCTCGGCGTTGTGATATCCTACTGGGCAAGCACAGGCGAGGATGCTTTATGAAAAAAAACCGCTGCATCGACCAAAGAAGCGGAAACATGAAAACACTTGCACATATAGCAAATAAATACCCAGACAATGACGCGTCTATCTTACCTGTGCCATGAGCCAAATCGATGCCCGGTTCGGTGAGTATGTTCGGGTCACTTTGAGATCTGCCTCGTTGCAGACAGCCGTCTAGTCCATCCGATGTAGCCATGGGGAGACAGCACAGGAATCCTGAATAAAATATTGAAAACCCTACCAGAGGCAGGCAAGGTCAGGAGGAAAGCAACGAGCGAGTGCAGATTTAATTCGCTCTGACAACAGCCGCTTTGAGCATCTACCAGGGAGCCATGGCTGAGCAGAAATTCCGTGTGTGTGTGTGTGTGTGTGTGTGTGTGTGTGTGTGTGTGTGTGTGTGTTTGAGCGTCTGGGCTGTGTGCGCGATGATGTGTGGATGTGGGAGGGGTGATATGCCCCCGATGATGCCCGTCCCTGTCCAGCAACACGACAAAATATTCAGCACACCAACTAGGATGCACACATTGATACATTTTTTGGGGCTCATACTGTATATTTACCGGTATGTATTTAATGGCTAAAACATATTGGCAACTCATCATCATCCTTTTACAACCCCCCTCCTCGCATCGTTTATTTAAGGTCTATAAGCATAGGTCTAACCAGCCCAAACGCTATGAAATGCCCGATTAATTCGAGCACGCATTGTAAAAGGCTGCCATCAATCAAGAATTAATATGGCATTTGGCTGTAATTGGTTGATTAGAATGCAACAATGGACATATATGACATTTTTCAACTGATGATGTGCATTTACTGTACTCTTAGATATATGCTGACATAAATTAAAGGTATATTGATCAGGGGTTTGCATTATGACTTGCAATTTCTGCATGAATTCAAATTTTCAAAGCACAGTATATTTATATTTAAGGATGCACAGCGCTGTTTATGTGCTTTGCAAACTATGACCCAACGTTATTATGTCAAAAACGCGACATATTGTTAGAGGAACAATGTATATGAAAACCCCAAAATCTAAATTCAAATAACTGTATTGAAAGCATAATTAAGATCTAGATGCTACCGCTTTCACATTAAAAATAACATTAGACACCATATCGTCATTGGGGGGTACAAAAAAATAATATGTTTGGTGACACACGGGGAAAAAAACTGCTATTAAAGCTAATTAAAACATAAAGAACAAAGTAAAACCACATAAATCAACGAGATTAAACAGTGACAAATAACACAGCGTAAATGCATAAATGACATCGACGCTCCGTTTAATTACTATTATGTTTACAATAATTGCTTGAAATTATATAATTACTACTAAAATATTATTATATACTCGTCAAATATGACAGAAATAAAAAATATTTTTCCTAAAACAAAGACGGTGACACAGGAACACATATGGAAGCAGCTCATTGGCTGGTTCTACGTGTGACGCGACAACGCGGAAGTGAACCACCACCGTAGAAGCAAAAATGGCAGCTCACAGGTACCGCTACTCGGCTATGCTGCTCATTCTTTACAATTTGTCGGTTTTTATCATCGCAGACAGCCAAGACTCGACACTGCCTGGTGGTCACCATGCCGCCGCGGTTGATAATCCGCAAACGGCCACAGAGACAGCGGGACAAACGGCCAAGCAGCCCGCGGTGGAGGAGAGGCGGTGGGAAGCCACTGAGGTTGTAGATGATGCTGCAACCGACGAACAGGACAATTCTGGTCCTGAACCCGCGTTCACCTCCTCGATACCTCAACATAAAGACGATTTCCAGGAGGAGCTGGTCATCAGGCCGCTGCACTCAGGAGATATTTACGCCAGCTTCCAGTTCCGCACCCTGTGGGAGACTGACTTCATGAGGGGAAATAAAGGTAAGCTAACTGTTAGCACTGACTGAATACAATGGTAAGATACAACTTTATATATCCCCGGGGACACTGACAAAAGCCCATTTCACTTTGGAATGAAAAGTTTGATTTTGTGTGCAGTTTTTATATTTATAAATAATTAGTGCCATAACTAGGTTAAAATTACCTGAATTAAGTGGTTGGAAGACTAACCTTTGTATTTAAAAAAAAATAGTGGAAGCTCCCTGAGGCCCATCCTACCCTTAAAGGCACAAAATGATCTGTCTCTAAGCTTAGTTAGAGCCCAGAAAGGGATGCTGCTCATGTCTTTACTCAAGAAAGGGCATTCAGGGTTCCCAAAAAAGAAAAGAAAGAAAGGAAAGGCAAAGAGAGCAGAATGACTTTGAATAAAAAAATGAGAAGGTGCCTGAGGGAGACATGCTACACCCCTGATTTTATGTTATATATCCAGGGGTCTCATCTATAAAACAGTGCGTAGGATCCATACTACAAATGTACATACGAACAAAAGTCAAAAATGGTGTGCGCCAAAAAGTATTTGACAATTTTTACAATCAGGCTTCCACCTCACTATATGCGTTGCCAGATTCTTATCTCCAAAATGTTCATGAGCATAGTTTCTCCCATCAAGTCTGTCTTTATACATCACAACTTTTCCTTGTGAAGCCTCATTTCGGGCCTCCTTTTGGGTGTATGCAATGTTTAGAAATGAGACCCCAGGTTTCTAAGTGGTTTCTTGATGCACCATTAATCTGATGAAAAATTTAAACAGTGACAAGATTACCCTCTGATACAATTTTATTTTTTTCAGTCTTTCTTTATTTAGTCTTCTTACTAACATTAAAATGACTTAAAAGTCTTTATTTGCATGTAACTTATGACAGAAAATATCAGTTCCTGTTTGAAGTCTCAAGGTTTGACGATTGCATCAAATTAATTTTGACACTGTAGTAAAGTAAAATTGACAAGACAGAAGTAGATCTACTGTTCATTCATTTTTATTTATTTTTTCACCAAAGCTGTAGCCTCACACTAGGCTAGCTCAGGTAAACTCTGAAAGAATATTACAGAGGCTAGAGCTAGATACACATCCCATAAATTACATACACTATATACCCATTTTTTCTATAGTTAACTCATAATCGTATCATTAGACAGCAGTTTTGCTTACCATAACCCTAAACTGTGTGATGTTATGTTGTGTTTCTCAGTGTCCCACTACCGGCTCTTTCCCAAGTCCCTGGGCCAGGTCATCTCCAAGTTCTCAGTGCGAGAGCTGCACATCTCCTTCACACAGGGCTACTGGAGGACCATGCAGTGGGGGCAGCCCTTTCTGCCGTCCCCTCCTGGTGCTGAACTCTGGGTCTGGTTCCAGGATTCTGTAACAGAGTGAGTATGGCCCTCTGGTGGCTGCAGAGCATCAAACAAATGTTCAAAAGTTCAACAAAAAGCAGTCTTTGACCAAATCCTGCCGTGTGCGCCATCATTCATTGTAATGTTTTCATACAATGTTTCTGCCCTTATTAGTGTGGATGGCACGTGGAAGGAGCTGACAAATGTTTTGTCGGGGATCTTCTGCGCTTCACTGAACTTCATTGACTCCACCAACACTGTTCAGCCCAGTGCATCCTTCAAACCGCTGGGTATCAGCAACGGTAAAGAGAAGTTCCTTCAATCTCCCTTGGTGTTAATGTGAAGCTTTCTAGTGATGAGCCTGAATAGAAGCAAATGCTGTGATTAGATGCCTTAAACTAGCAGCATGCAGGTGCAAGAGATACTGTCCAAGATGCATAGACTGATTTTTTGTGTGTGTGTGTGTGTGTGTGTGTGTGTGTGCGTGCGTGTTGAATTCGAAGTGACGGATCACCGCTTCCTTCGCTATGCCACCCTCCCACGAGAGATTGTTTGCACTGAGAATTTGACACCCTGGAAGAAACTCTTGCCATGTGGATCCAAGGTGAGTGTCTGTGTGTGTGTGTCTCTTTATGTATTTCTTAAAACACTTAAATAGCATGTGTGCTCCGTTGTATGATGCACATATTAACATCCAGGATCTTGCGTCTTGAGCACCACATACAAGGACATTCTCAAGATGATATATTCAAACTGACTCTCCAGTGTTCAGATGTTGCTGACTGCAGCTAACTCACTTTCTTCTTCTGTTTCTTTGTGTTGTCATGATGCATTTGCAGGCTGGTCTCGCTGTGCTGTTGAAGTCAGAGAAACTCTTCCACAGTAGTTTTCATTCTCAGGCAGTGCACATAAGACCCGTGTGTCAGGACTGGCAGTGCAAAACCACATCCTGGGAGCTGAGACAGACACTGAACGTGGTCTTTGACCTGCACACCCCCGGTCAGGGCAAACGAGGTGAGCAAAAGCACATTTTAACTGCATTCACCCCACATTTAAAGTAACTTTGGTATTCAACTTGGACACTACTTTCCCATGTTTTTGTGTCTAAGTAACAGCAGTTTTGAAATTGGTACAGTACAGTAACCATTAGGGGCATTTGAGCACTTTTAGGTGTTTACTTTTGCCACTGATGGACTCAGATTATTTGTCTTAGTATTTGACAACATCATGGAAAGGATCCCTACAAAGACAGACCTTTGTGTTAAAGAGTAGGATCCATTTTGTTTCACTAGAAATAGCCCTGAAGTCTCTATCGAAAAGCCCACCAGACTCCATTTAAATAAACAGTAATTTTAGTGTGTATAGAACTGGTATATTTTCACATCCTACTGGGTGAATTAAGGGTTTATTTCAATCAAAGCAGAGTTAATGATTGCTGAAACAGTGTAAAGATGAACCAAGGTGGTTTTTGAGAGTTTTATTTTGTTTCTGTCGACTTTGAATGAAGCTTGTTTTACAGTGATAAAATTATTGATTATTTTAATGGGGTTTTGTTTGCTTTGGTGATGGCAATTTAAGGTCTGTTTCTAGTGAAACAAAAAGGATATTACTTGTTAACAAAAATGTCTTTCTCTTTAGGAATCCTTCCCATAATCTTATTAAACATTTAAAATAATAATCTGAGCCTGTCAGTGGTGAAAAGAAGCACTTTCAGTGGAGGTTAATGGGCGATGCACTGATACCCTAAGTATTTACGTTGTAGCGTGTCTGTCACTCAATACTGGACCAATTCCAATAATTGTTGTCTCCATTAGTCACTGAAACACAAAGCCTTCCCTTTATGTTCAAAATTTCTGAGTGTTTCTGTGTGTTTGGTTGTTAAAAAAAAAAACCTGTGTTAACTTGAGCTGCTTGTCCCCACAGAGTGGTCTCTGTTCAAGATGTTCTCTCGGACCCTGACAGAAGCTTGTCCACTGGCCTCCTCCAGTAAAATCTACATCGACATCACAGACAACCCTCAGGTTTGACTCCTACTTAATATGCTCTCATCTGCATCACATGATTAGTTATCTCCCTTGATGTAAACTTCACAGAAGGCAAAAGAGTCAAAGTACTGTCAAGGTGGAGATATTTAAAGGTTCCCTGAGGGGTTTTTGACCTGTAGTAGTGCTTTGGAGCTGTTTATTAGAGCAGGCCCCTGTGTTGGTGAGGACACACATGCTCACACAGTCCTGCCAGTGGCAGAAGGTGTAATCTTTGAACAGTATGTATGCAGATGTGCAGCACAAGAGAAATGTAATGTCATTTTGCAGGGGGAGCAGTTTGAGCTGAGCCCGGCCACTCCCCTGCTGAGCCAGGCAGTGGTGCTCGGGGACAGACGAACCTTCTCTGTCTACGATCTGACCCAACAAGTCACCTTTGGCACCGTGCGCTCGCTCAACCTGCTGATACGCTGGAAATCCAGTGAGGGTGAGTGAGAGCAGCAGAACACGACACAGCTTTGTGTAAGAGGCTGGACATAATTATTTATGATTCAGTGCAACAAGAAAGACCATAGGAGTTAACAATAATACAATGTGTCAGCTGCATCTGTTTGTCATATCTCTCCTGGTTACATTCTGTAACTCCTCTTCTTCTATTCTCAGTCTGTGTTTGCGCTGTAATCATTTCATGTACAGTCTGCAGTCTGATCTGTTGCAACCTGTTCTTTGTGTTGGAACAGGAAGTCCTCAGCAGGCAGCAGATGATTGCACTTTCAGATTGCAACATTTGACCGTTTTAACTTTTTTTAAAGCAAGAGCAAATAAGAAAACGCTATTTGTGTCCAAGACTGTTGAGATTTATACCAAAGCAATGCAGTTCCTGTTTGCTCCCAGAGGTCTCTCTGTTAATGTGTCAAACTCTAATTTAACCTTTTAATATTGTCACACGGATGCTTTGTCAAGACATCCTTCTTCAGTGTGTATTCTGGCAGTATCACAAACAACATACACAGTTGGGGTTAATTATTGGTGACTGTAACTAGCACAACAAGTAGATCCCAGCAGGGGGAGCTACAGCCCTTCCCAACACAGAATGGTATGGTGCCCAAGGCCCACCAAAGGGCAGGCCAAAATCTCAAGGCACACCTGTATATCTGAGCACCATAGCCTCCATAACGTGTGTTATCATTGTTACCACAACATTAATGTTTGTTTTTATTTACTAATATTAAACAATTGACAACCAACCATTCAGGAATTCATTCAAAACGTTTGAAAATACATCAAAGCACCAATAACACATCCATTTAATCAGGAAATAATGTAACATAATGTGATGTGTCACACACTTATAATGTCCTTGTGCAAATGGCAACAAATAGGTTCCCCTTGAAGTTGTTTTATTGCCATATTTCTTGTCTCTGCTGCAATTTTTCCCACATGTTCGACCATTAAACCTCATTTTGTCATACTGTCTGCAGGTGACATGCTGCGTCCCCTGCTCCACGCTGAGCGCTATGTGGCTGGCTATGGGCTGCAGACAGGAGAGATTCACACGCTCATGTACAACAACCACCCCTACAGGTCTTTCCCCGTGCTGCTGCTGGACTCGGTGCCTTGGTACCTTCGTCTCTACATCCACACCCTCACTGTGACCAGCAAGGCGAAGGACAACAAGCCCAGTGAGTCACTTTAGAAAGCTGAGAAGAAGGCGTGTGCTAACAGGGTTTGAAAATAACAACTATCAATGTGCCAAACACTGGAGGGATTTGATTATGAGAGGTAAATAAATAAAAGCCACTTATAACTGATTATAGAAATCAGATCGGCCTCACACAAAGAGCAAATGTAAAGTGAGGCGGTGTAACATTTCTGTGTTAATGTACCTGAAGTTAAAGTGTGGGTCCATCTGCATTATTTTCTGTGTTTTTCAAATGGAAACTCCCACTCAGCTGTTAGCAAAGAGTGGTGACGCACTCTCAACACACACTGTTTGTAGACAGCGTAAGCAAAGAGAGTGAGCAAAGTGTTAGCTTCTGAGATTTGAGCTTGGAGGTGGAACATGGTGTCATTGTATTATCATTAGACCTTTATTTAGCCAGGTGAAGACACTTTAAGATTCTACATAATACTGCATCTGTCCTGTTTAAACACATTTATAGATCCATAGTCAGTTTGATACTGTTGGTAAAATTTAGATTGACTTAACTCACTCTAATAACCATATTCTTACATAATACTAATGCACATGACCACATATATACTACTTGCCTGCAATGCTAAAACAAGTAAAACATGATTCGTCCCAAAATCTGTCCTTAATTTGGTTAAAAGGTGTCTTGAACGGGCCTTAAAAAGCCTTAAATTTAACTGTCTGATACCTGTAGATACCTTGTTCCTACAGATAGGTTACATTTTTTTACTAGGTACAGTAAGTTACACATACTGTAGGTTCTTAGTTTCCTCACAGGAATCACTGTTTCATGTAACTCCATGCAGGTGCATCTTTTCACCAGAAGGAGGAGAACATGAGTCGTATTCTCTGTCATGAAAGCTTTAGTGGACCAGGATTGTTTTGGTGTTTGGTTCCTGCTCAAACATAATATTTTATATAATATTAGTCTCTTAAATAACTTAGTGAAACTACAAAGAGCTGTGGATAAACATTAGAGCAGTGGATAAGTGGTCGCTCATGTTGTTCCCCTTCCACCAGGCTACATCCACTACCAGCCGTCTAAGGACCGTGTGAGGCCCCACCTGCTGGAGATGCTGGTCCAGCTGCCTCCCAACTCCATCACTGAGGTCACAGTGCAGTTTGAGAGGGCTCTGCTCAAGTGGACCGAATACACTCCTGATCCCAACCACGGCTTCTATGTCGGGTATGAAGCACGCAGAGTTGTTCTCAAATGATTATTTCCAGAGGTTGCTGAAAGAAGATGCAGCACACATGTTGCTTTAACGACCTTTTAAAAGCTGCAGGTGTTGTTTTATTTTGAGAGGCGGAAGAGTGGATGGTTTTTGGTTTAAAAATGACTCAGATCTGTCTCTTCAACATTTAGGTCTTCAGTAATCAGCTCTCTTGTACCAAGCATTGTCGCCATGGATACAAACAGCACTCAGGAACGGCCACTTTTCAGCAGCTTGTGAGTATCTAGTTGTTTGTTTTCTGAGGAAAATGTCTGTTGTTGCCACTTATTCACATATTGTTTGAGTTTTTGTAGAAGAAACACATTTCACAACACAAATCATATTACTGCTACTTGTGGCCTGAGCTGTCGCCAAGAACACAACACGACTACACTCGAAATGTAGGAAAATATTCTCACAATGTTTGGTTCTGCTAACACAACCAAGGTTCCTACGGCTTAAGGCAAATTAGATTTTTTCAAAGCTACTCAGAATGAAATTTAAGACCAGTTTTAAAATAACCCAAATTGAAGAGAGAAAAAACATGACCTGACATAAATTATTTTGGATCAGAGACAGTTTTTCCCAAATATTTATTTTAACACAAAACATGAGTTTTTTGGGAAATACTGTTTGTTGGTAGGTTTTCTTGGCGATTTTGCGTGTCTGACTCTGCATGTTGGATTCCACTGCCTTGATCCCCATTGTTCTGAGTTTGAAAAACTTGTTTGCACAAAATACGCTGAGCCTCATATGCATTTTTTTGTACTGACATCAGCCATGCTGCGAAATCCTGGTTAAACACCAGCTTTTAAATTGAATTTACAGTCCCCCATGTCGTCCAGGGTGCAGCGACAGCTAGCTAGCAGACAGTGAGCATCCCGGGCAGAAAACAAAATATGAGTGTTGTTGGTTTTGCTGTCTTGATCTGCATGACGTTAATGTAAGAGGCATTTGGTAAATTAAAAAAACAAAACACAGTTAGCAATTTTGAGATTTTACATTGCAACATCAGACAAGAAAAATCATAAAATCCTACTTTTCACATCAGAGCATTTTTACAACTTTTGAAAGATTGATTTAAATTATAATAATAACTTTATTTGTATAGCAAGGTTACAGAGTGCCTTCCAAAGTGCACGAAAATAAGACAATAACATCACAATAATTTAAAAAAAATGTTAAGTGCTAAGAAAAATAATGTGTACAGAGGCAAAAACAGAACAAAAGGAAATCAAAAAGTTACAAATCACAAAAGAACAAACCAGGCATTGAAAGGGAAAGCATTTCTATAAGAATACGTTTTAAGCAATGATATAAAAACGGGTAATGTGCTAGCAAGCCTAATCTCCTCAGGCACAGAACTGACCTTTCGCTAAGCCCCGCCCCTTTGTGATGGTCCAACAAGCTGTTGGAGTAAGCATGGTGCCCACACTGTAACTAACTGCACTTCTGAAGAAACCTTAACCTAGGGACGTCAAGTGAGGGTAGGCTTGAGGATCTTAAGACATTTATATACCAATTAAGACCTTATTCTTAGATGAATTGAATGTTATTTTAAGATTTTTTAAGGATCCCCGCCATGAACCCTGACAGGAGATATCAACGTAACAACAATAAATTCAATTTGAACAGTAATATATGCAGTAACTCTCAGATCTATCCTACTGCCAGTGAGCTTATGTCAAAACTCAAGTACAAATGTAAATGTAGACATGCAGCTGGGTGTGTATGTATGAATACAAAAATATAACAATACTAAACTGAACCCATCCTGCAGAGCTTGTCTGAAATGTATCCAAACCCAAACAGATCACACCCTCCTTTACTTGTCTGTGTCCTTTTATGTTTTGTAAATCAGTAACATCTGTACATCTGCTGCTGCCTTCTTTTAATCCATTAGTATGTCCATATTGTCTACACATGTACGCACTAACTGGTGTTTAAAGTTGGGGAAAAGGAAAATAAAAAGAAACACATCTGAATGATCAGATTTCCTGTCTCCCTGCAGTTTTCCCTGTAAAGAGGAATCCACCTACTTTGTGCGAGTCTACACAGAGCCTCTGCTGGTCAACCTGCCAACCCCAGACTTCAGCATGCCTTACAATGTCATCTGCCTGACCTGCACTGTGGTGGCTGTGGGTTACGGCTCCCTCTACAACCTACTGACCCGCAGCTTCCAGATAGAAGAGCCCAGCCCGGGACTGGCCAAGCGGATAGCCAACATCATCCGCAAGATGAGGGGCGTGCCACCACTCTGAGGCTGGACACACACGCCAACTGGCTCCACTTATAGAAAGGAAGCTTTCCTTTTGGTGAAACCACTGGTAAACATGTGATATTCAGGGAAGAACTGAGTCAAGCACTGGTATGAATGTTTTTTTTTTTTGAAACGGTCAACTTGAAGGTTTTGTTTTCAGATGGAAGAAGACACATTGTTCTTTTGAACACAAATGTATTCAGGATCCTCTCCTGCTGGTGAAGGGTGAGAAATATGGAAATGTCTCTACTTGGATGTAAAGAAAAGGACCAGATCTGTGCAGCGTGTTGCTATGGTAACTGCATCAGAGTTTTGATTGTTTTTGTTTTTTATATTTGAGGCCATAACTCCACAACATCATGATGCAGCCACAGTGTCTCTGAGACACTTAGTTACTTTGTTAATGATGTTTCTACAGATATGAGACTGATGGTCTTACACAGCATTACAAAAGGATAGCAAAAGGATAATCTCCTGATCAGTTAGGACAGGTTGTCAAATAACTCTGAAAATACTGAGTTTCCCATGTCCAACCAGAACACAGCAGCTAAGTCTAACTGTGGGACATCCAGTGGTATGTCCTCTATTTATACAGTTCCTAATTTATTTGTCTTATCTGACACATGCTCTGTAGTAGTTTTAATATATGAGAAAAGAAAACTCATAAAAATACCAAATCCGTCATTCTTTTAAATTTGTTCTAGGCAGCATTTCTCACCTGGAACTGCTTGTTCTATAAAAAGGAAAAGCCCTCTTATCAAAAGTTTATTTTGCACTTGTTTGTTGGATGCATGCTCGAATGTTAACAGACTTCACCCACAAACTGATGATTTGTATTTCAACTGGTCAACACTTTGTGTTTTTTGCATGCCTCCACAGCGAACAGCTAACATTCTTCATGAATTGAAGTAAACGGGGACTACGTTTAACATCAGCAAAACTATACAAAAATATCTGTGTACAAAGTCTCACATAACTCGTGCAATATAGTCCAAGTCTCATTTTTTTCAGTCGTTTTCTCAGTACTTCTCAAACACATGCATTTTCCCCTAGAAAAACCTTAAGATTTAAAACACTTTTGCCTACGAGTAGTGCACCCTGAGTGTGCCTGAGCACATTCATACAAATGAGCTCTGCTTGAGCAAAGTTCAAAGACACATGTGTGCCCAGATACACTACTCAGCCATGCAAGCGACTGTTTTTACTGACGTGTTTTAAGCTATAAGGTTTTAGCTATGTGCATGTGTTTGGGAAGTACGGTGCAATTGTACTGCATGGGTTTTGTGAGAGTTCGTAAACAGATATGATATAGTTTTGCTTTTGTTAAATGTGCTCTCTGTTTACTTCAATTTATGAAGAATGCCTTTTTGGATTCTCTGTTCACTGTGAACACATGAGAGAAAAACAGTTTGCTTCACGAATTTAACGAAACGCACAGAGTAATTGATACACTAATTCTAACTCATTTTGCAGGTGGCTTATTCTTTTAAACGCGATTTTCAGCAGGTCTCTTCATAGCTAATTGCCTTCAGTTTGTTGGGTTGTAAACTCACTTATCAGTTCAATGCAGTTTCAGTGTGTCTTATTCATAGCAAATTGAAGTCTGTTATTATGGAATTACCATCACCCTACCAGTAAATACTACCATTCATTTGTTTGTTGAACTTTTTACCCAGATCAATCCTTTGTCATGTTTGTCTGCCTAAAAGTCCACTCTGCAGAATGTGAATATTTGAAGCGGTACGGTGTGTGTGTCGCAAAACCTGTGTGTCTTTAACGCCTTTTCAATAAACTAACAAACATCTTTTTTTCTCCAAGTTTTATTCAAACATTGAGCAGTGAAAGAAAGCACACTGTTCCAAACTGCAGCGGGGCTGGAGCTCTATTACTTCCCACTGAGTGCCCACATTTTTGTGTAAACAAACTTGGCCCCACTTCTGGCAGACTGCGAGAGAACAAACACAGACGTCTCTGTGTTTGGCCGGTCAGCGAGTCTCACCCCTGCACGTTTGGCAACGGCGTGGAACGAAAACAAAGGAAAAAGCAGCATTCCACATAAGTGATGTTCATATGTGGTCAGCTGCAAACTATGTTATCTCTCTAAGTAAACAGACAGCCAGAGAACATGGTGTGTTTTTAAGTGACTCAGCCTTCATTTCATTCTGCACGTTTGTAATTGGCTAGACGAGTACACTTAGTCACACTTTTTAAATCTGGCTGCGTACATTAACTTTAATTCGAGCTGCTTTTTAAGATATGTGAGGTTGCGGTGCAACAGTGTCGAAACCTTTCGAGCTGCAGGCATTCCTGGCCACCTCTTTAAATACTCGCTCTCTGCCAGTAAGCACTTTCCATTCTCAGCATATTTCATCATTTGTTTTCTCAGCTGAGTTCTCATTTAATAGGCCCGTAAAACAGACCTGTGCAACTGGAGACCTGTAACCTGCGAGGTGATGAATATATAAGACATTTCTGGGGTCTGGAAACATGTTTATTGGTTGAAATACAAAGGAATGAAAATTGCTCCAAACCTTCAAGTTCTACAAGCAACAGATGTAAAAGTACAGTACATATTTAATCCATTTAAAATATACTAGATGATACACTATCAATACTTGTAAGCAAAATACTGTAGGTCTTTTCTAGAATGTGAATGGTGCCCTACCAACTCATTTCCTCCTGCTCTTGTTTCTCCAAATGTACTCAAAGTAAAGGCACATAAAATGGCGTCTTAACTGTATTAAAGGAAAACAACAAAATACTTCCACTCCCAAACTTTGTGCAAACTAACGCTCATATTGTACCAAACTGTGCAACTATGGAGTTGAAAAGGTAAAAAAAAAAAAAAAGTGATACATTTTCTGTGTTGCATGAAAGGAACCAAACAAGTGCCTCACGTGTAGCTGAGACGCTGAGCTGTCCAATCAGCAGGGCTCACTGCAGGCGTGGCCGCAGGTCGTCTTGCAGCACTTCTGCTCTCCTGGACACTGACCATCATGGTAGCAGTACTCAGCACACATGGGGGTTCCCTGGGGGAGAGCGCAGCGACCACGCTTCACTGAAGACACATAAACATACAGTGTCACATTCATCCAATCACAGGAAGGAGAATTCTGGGGGATTTTTGCCACTGTTGTTCACATCTAACCTGTGTATGGTACAATGCACTCATGTCCACATCCATTGTGGCAGCACTTCTCATTACTGGGGCAGTCACTGTCGTTGGAGCAAAATTCAGCACAGGGTCCTGAGCCCCATTTCCTGCGAGGACACGCTCCTGGCTTGGCTGATGGGACAAAGATAAATTAAATACAAAGACAGCTAAAAGAGAAGTTTAAAAGTTTGTGTCCATGCTTGATTCCCACATCAGTTCAGTCACTGAGGAGACTCAGAATCAAAGCTTCATAGAGTTAAACATTGTGGCTCGTACTGAAAGCAGGAGGGACACAGACAGCTCCACAGTCAAAGACACAGCATTTGTGGTCAGCAGGACAGTCTTCATCACACACACACCCCTTATGTGATGGGACAACATTAAGGCGACGTGGGCAGTGGCCTGGTTTGGGGAGAATCACTGAGAGAAAGAGGCAGTGAGGCAGAAGAGGAGAAAGATCAGCTGTGGTAACTGAGATATTAATGACGGTGTGTGGCTGCTGAACAGCTTAGTGGTGGAATGAAACACAAACATGCATTAATTTTTAAAGAAGTACACAGTGTATTGCTAGATTACACATTAAACACATCTCATAAGTTAAAAAACATACCTGTTTTATTTCCATCAGCTCCTGCAGCAGAAACTATGTCAAAGTGCAAAAATGCACCGAGAGCTAAAACCAGTGCACAAACTGCCGACCAGTGTGGCTCCATGGTAACTTCTTTCTCTCAAGAATGTACTCCTGTTTGGACAAATATCCCAGTACACAACCTGCAGGCTGAGCAGCCAGGCACAGGATGCTGGGTCCTTGTGCCTGTAGACTTCAAGTCCCACAGCTGAGCTTTATGGTGGGATGTGACAACAGACTCAGCTGCTTCTAACTGAATCTGTTCAGCAGGTAATAATGGAGTGTTCTATTTTTTTAGTGCATAATATTAATTTTGTAGTTTGTATTTGTCAAAGTTGTTTTATTCTGTAACCACTTATCCTATTCAGGGTTCCGGGGGGGCTGGAGCCTATCCCAGCTGTCACTGAGTGAGAGGCGGGGTACACCCTGGACAGGTCACCAGACTATCTCAGGGCTGACACACAACCATTCATGTTTGCGTTCGCCTATGGGCAATTCAGAGTCACCAGTTAACCTAACCTGCACAGAGGAAGCTGGTGTACCCAGAGAACACCCACACTGACACAGGGAAAACATGCAAACTCCACACAGACCGCCTAGGACCCGTCTGTGTGGAGTTTAAAGAATACTAGAGAACTGAAATAAATGTCATGAAGAATAGTTTTAAAGGCTCTGAATGACTTAAACGCTGCACACACTCCTAGCCAGAGTTTGACTATAGAATATGAATACGAAAACTAACAGCCAAAATTTTTTCAGATGGATGTCCATGAAGCAGAATCTTATCAAACAGGAGTCCATGACCTCATATGTATCAGTGTGTATCAGTTCAGGGGTCCTTAATGCAAAAAAGGTTGAGAACCACTGGTGTAGACAGCTCAGGTATAATTTAACAGGATTGTGTTCTTGAGCAAGTTGTGGGGTCGATAATGACGACAGTTTAATTCATTTAAGACCTTTGCAAGATCATTTTTAATCATATTTAAGTAGTCAAGCATTGCAGGTAAGTGTAAAGGAATATATATGATCCTCTGCAGAGGTAGGTTGTATGTAGAAATACGGTTAATAGAGTGAGTTAGGTTAATCTACATTTTGCCATGAAGTTAATACAAAGTATTTATGGATTAAATTCACTCAGAAAAGCTGAAGTTGTTTTAAATGAAAAGATAAATGAGATCATGTTTGTGGCAATTAATCAAATTTAAGACTACTTAATGACTTTAATGGATTACTGTTTATAAAATTATTTATACAACAGAATATAAGACATTTTAAACACCTGCACACACCCTGTGTTACATTTAGCTTGAGTGCACTCTACCAGCATTTCGTATTTATAATGTCTTTTCTGCCTGTGTTGTCTTATTTACTTGCGTTGTCACTTTAGTTGCCACTTGAACTACACTGTGTAAAATTTAGTGTCACGTATCTGACAGTGGACGTGCTTTGTATTTTGCTCTCAGTCTGACCCTGTGGTGCCATCTACTGGCAGAATCAGGAGCTACATGAAAGCTGTTAGATGTGAAGTCTGAGTAATGTTTCACTGACACTGAGGTAGCACAACATAAACACTGCCAGTGTCTTAACAATTTTCATTTAACTCTCTGTCACTAATATCAAGGACAAGCAGCTCAAATTGTTTTATTTGCACCACACTTGTTAAAACAGGCTTTTAGGGATGAGATATGGGGACTACTCATCATAAAGGTTAATGCCAGTTAAACTAAAGTGAAGTTAAGATGTGCTGGCCATTTTCAAGTGAGGGAGATGATTATACACTTATATAAAGAGCTTCTCTCCTGAAATATAAATTTGAGGGAACAGAAATTTCATTCAAAGGCATTCCCCTCCTATACTTTTAATTCCCTCGCATTCACATGTCTTATTTTGATGTGTTTCCATGTCTTGTTTTACTCCCTGTATTCTTGCTTACGTTTTTTGTTTTTTTTCTGTGGATGAAATCTGACTTCTGACTTCCTTGAAAAACAACACTGCGTCTCGTCTCTGAGCCCTGACAACAGCACATCAATGAGACGGTCTGCACATTTACATTTTGTCCCCTCATGAGACAGCATGCAGCTTTGCACGTATTCAGTTTCAGATGAGTCTGGCCGTCTTTGCAGTGAGATTGGACTGTCCATCTGATCCAGTCCCCTGATACTGATAAGGTGCTGCCAATCCATGCACTCGACTGTGCTGTGTCACGGACGAGCCTCAAGACACGAACCTAAACTGCTCATTTTCATATATTGGGAGAAGTTCTTCTTTGATTTCTGATGTACGTGTGTGAAAATATTCCTGTCTTAATACCTGCGTTGTGAGTATTTGTTGTAGTAAACTGTTACATTGAGGGGGATGACGCAGGGAAACGCTCCATGGAAACATTGGTTTTATGTGTGCGCCACTGTAATAAAAAGACTGTGTGTAATTCTCTTTATCCGTATGTATGTTGGGAAAATGGTCCCAAACTTTGACCTTCAGTGAACAGTGGTCATGTTACTTTTTCAGCAAAATAATAATTAGTTTATAAAGGCAATAGGGCATGGCTTTCACCTTAATACCTTTTATTACCACGCCAGTAGAGGTATGTTGAAAAGCCACAAAATGAATTCCCTAATGTGTACCTCTGTTACTGCAGTGAAAGGTACAGTATAGCTCATTCTGTCAGGTATGAAATTTACAACAGAATGTGCGACCATCTCATAAATGTGGTTAATAGTACAGACATGTCCTCTGAAATATATTTTATTGCCACTTAACACACATTGCAAATGCACACATTGTGTTGGTAGGTCATTCTTACACAGGCTCCCCCGTGTCTTAATGTTATCCTGACGAAATGATAATAATAATGTTTACTTATTGTTTATGCAGCAGCATGGTAGGACAAATCTGATCTGGACCTGAACAAAATAATCGTTTTTTTTTTGTTTGTTTGTTAGTTTTATAAAGTTTCCATTTCAATGTGTAGATAGTGACGTTTTTAAAAGTGCAACGAGGAAAATTTGTCATGAGACAGAAT